GCCAAGACTATGAGAAGGTTTTTGGTTTTTTTGCCACCTTTGAGTGTTCCTTCATTATGGCGATGCCAGTAAACACCATGTCCGATATGTAAAATCTGTCAACAGTAAAAAAATTTCAGAAAAATCCTCAGTCCTATGTATTTAAAATTACCAGGTAATAGGACAGTGTGTTGACTTTCTGAAAGAATGTCACAAAGTTTCAGGCAGGAGAAGCCTGTGGATGCGCCCAGGCAAACAAATACTTTCTTTGTTCTCCACAGAACAGACTGCCATCCTCCCTAAGGGACTACAAATGAGGCTTCGGGAGACTTAGCAAATATTGAGGGAAAAAAATCTTCAGATCTCAAGCTGCAGCTCAGTTATCCAAATGAATAAAGGCACATGCCATATAAAGTGCACACGTACATCTCTGTGCACGTGTGTTTAGTGAATATGTGGGTGTGTGTATGTGCACACAACATGCATGTCTGTGTGTATAACAATTTTTATAGACACACAGGAAACAGGGCAAAATGAAAACTTCCACTCTCTAATAGCTTCTCCCCCAACCTTTTATTTTGATCGTCTTGTAGTCACACTGAGACTCTGTCAAACCTGACTGAACAGGATTATTTTTTAATTGCTGAAATGGGATTTGCAAATGACCCAGGGTTAACACTTTAAGTGATGAGAATGTCTCCCCGGTAATGATGCTCAGTAATAGAGGAGATGCTAGAAAGAGACGTGCTTGGACCAGATGGCCTGGCGATCCCTTGAAACTCATTTGAGGTGCTATTTTTATTATGGATTATTTAGGGCTTGTGGAGTGGATCAGACTTCAGGTTGACCGTATTTTCAAGTGAATTATTATCTACATATGTGTTCGTGGTCATGTGTGTATGTGTGTGTATGTGTTCAAGTCCCAGGCACAGTGAGTGAGTGTGCTGTTCATGTTGGAGTGAACCTTGGGCTGCGCTGTAGCCCTGCACTGCCATTCACTAACTTTTCTTTCTGAGCAAATTCCATTGTTTTTGTGAATCTCCATTTTCTTATATGTAAATGGTACATGTAACACTATAAAACAAAAGCAAACTGCAGTGTTTTTAGTCACTTAGACATTTTTATAATTAAACTGACTTGACTTCATTTACACAAAATGTTTAAGTTATAGTTGACTGTAGGGTCTTCTATATGATTTGCCTCTAAGCAACCAAATGTGGTATGCAAAAGTATAGACAGACCTTGTGGAAATACATATGGCCTTGATTACCTTAGAGCAACTCCATGAGTGCGGAACAGATGTCTCCAGTGTACCTATGAGTGAATTGAGAGGTGAAGCCATCTGCCCAGAGTTTCTGGAGGTCTGCCCTCATCTGCACCCCATGCTAGAGTTACAACCACTCTCTAGGTCACTACTTGGTGGCCCAAGGCAGGCGTGAAGAACAGCAGTTCCTTTGTTGTGGAACTGGCACTGTCATCTGGTTCTCTTGACCTAGCGCATCTCTTTGCCCTTTTCCTTGCCCTTCTCCTAGACACAGGTGTTCTCCCTTGTATGCCGGCTGGTATACAATTTCTTAATGCCAACCCTCCCTTCTGCCCTGGCCGAGACAGTGGGAACAAACAGGCATTGGGGGAAATTCAAACTAGACACACAGTGCCTGCTAGCTTCAGGTAGACGTACACCAGCCGACGCATTTGCAGAGCGCCTGATGGTGGGTGCTGGCCTGGGCTTGTAAGTTTCTGACGGCCACTTAGCTGCGGCAGGCCACAGCTCCAGGTGTTCCTCTCAGGAAATGATAGAACTGCTGGGACGTGACTGCTTAATCCCTTCCTAGTCTCTGGAGTCTCATAAATCCTTTAACTCTTCAAATACTGAACAATAAGAACTTGATTTACAGACACGTTATGGCCCTAGGAGGCCCAGCTACTGAGCTATGAAATTCAGGGTAAACAGGGGAACAAAAAGACCAGTAGGGGCTACCTTGAAACTAGTTTAAATATAATCAGTGAGACACAGAAGCAAAATCCTACTTACAAAATTATTATGTTTTTGTTTAAGATATATAGACTTAATTTTGCACAGAAAATTGCACAGGAAATAACCTCTCAGTAGGGCCATTGAAAAGCAATTTAATATTTTTAATAAGGCAAATCTTTCTGATTCGCAACTTTTTAGCCATGAAATCTTAAAATCCAATCAAAGTCTGTTTTTAATAAATGCAGCTTTACCAATTTTATTGTCCATTTCACAACCTAAGAAAATTAACATTTTTTAGCGCTTAAATTTAATCCTAATGACAAACATTTAGCTTTCTAACTGCCCTTTAGTAATTTCGTGTCTGTAAAATATGGGTTTCTTTTTCTGATATTTGGTCTCGAAATTGTAAATAAGGTCAATTTACCCAGCAGCCGCCAAATTTCTAAACAATTTTTTTCTTACTCCCTAACCCTCATTTAGAAACATAAAAATGCAATGTATTGCATGGCAAATAAGCGCCTGATTTTGCATCTCATTCATCAATAGTTCCTCAAAGGGTCTGGGTGGGAGTAGGTCCCATCACAAGAGGGCTAAAGGCAGGGCACCGGGACAGGTGACAAGGGGAGTAGCATCCCGTGAGGGGGTGGGGAGCAATTTCCTCACGTGGACAGTTCTCGCCCCTTGGTGCCATGGAGAGCACACTGGACTAGTCTTCAGTGGGTCAGTGCTCTGAGTTACATTGCAAAGCAATGTTGCCTGGCTGAGGCTCAGATTCTTCCTTAGAAGGTAAGAATAGTCTTACATCGACTTCACAGGGTTTTGAAAGGACTTAATTCAACCTAATATATAAAAATATTTGCAAACCAAAATCTTCCTATTTGTGAAGTAAGGGAGTAGAGCGTCCTTATGGCTGTTTCTCTGAGTACCTACTCTGACCAGGATCAAATGCACAACTGTGGCCATGTTGGCGGCATAATCCCTCCCACTGTTTAAAATAACCCTTTTCCATTGGCATAGGCTGATCATAAAATGGTTACCCTGGCCCCTAAGAGTTACAAAAGATGTGTGAATGACCCAATACAAAACCATGCCAGTGCTAGAAAAGCAAATTTGGCACTGATGCATCTACTGACCGCGTCTCCCTGGCCACGGTCCAATGCAGCTCCTACACACACTTCCTGTCTCTCTCTACAGCTCGTTGTTCTCGTAAGAAGCTCACCATCACACATACTTTTTATTCTACTTACTTGCTGTCTCTGCTGTTAGAATGTAAGCTCCACTACGGCAGGGGTATTTGTTCCATTCACCATCATATCCCTCTCACCAAGAGCAATGACTGACATATAGAAAAATAAATGCATCATACCCCGCACATGATGACCATTATGCAGATGTTCATGTATCTTCAGCCAAAGAAAAACCTGGAAACTATTAGTAAAAGCAACCTAAGTCTTAAGAAGCCATTCCTATTTCAATTCTGATATGTCAAAGCCCATAATAAAATAATTTGGTTATTTTTCATCCTTTCTACCACTGTCCTCACCAACAGTTTCTTATTCAGGTTACCTTGGTCCTTTTAGTTTTTCTCTCTGTGAATGAGTATAATTCATGCCTCAGATTCTAATCTTAGATTTATAGAAAACATAAGCCATAGTGAAGGAGTGCTATAGACGGAAGCTTTGTGTCCCTCCCAAATTCAGATGTTGAAACCCAATTCCCAACATGATGGTATTTGGAGGTAAAGGCTTTGCAGGATGGGATTAATGTGCTTATAAAAGAGATTCTAGAGCTTTCCCCAAGTGAGGACATGTAGAGAAGACAGAACCAGAAAGAAGGGTATTACCAGGCCCCAAACCTGTCAGTGCCTTGATCTTATAATTCTTAGGCTCTAAAACTGTGAGAAATAAATTCCTGTTGCCTGAACACTGTCCGGTCTATGGTATTTTGTTACAGCAGCCCCAACACTGAGAGTTTCCCCTTCCCCCATTAGAATTTACATGTGAATTCCAAATCTATTCTCCTAAGCAATTACTCACCATTGAATATCCATAAATTTCCATTGGAGACTCAATTGCAAGAAAACAAAGTATGATTATAAACAACCCTAATAATAAACAGGCACAAAAATGTTTACCACCCTGTGTTCCCACCATGTTTGGGAGATCTGTCAAATTGTTCTGTGGCAGATTGGAAGGAGGGTGTAGTGTGAGAAGCCATAGCCCAGCTGCTGGCGGTGCCGTTTCCGCATTTCACAGTGTGGAAATCACTACTTAGAAAACTCTAGCTCTGTTCATTAGCTGTAACAGAAGATGAGCCTGCAGGGACCTTGAAGGAGAAAAGCCAGTGGAGGGGGAGCAGGAGAACTTTAAAAAAAATCCTAGTATACCACTGCTCTCGTGAACCTGCGAGAGGGGCTTCCCTCTATCTTTCTACAGTCACAGGGTGGACAAAGTTTGCCAATGCAGGAAAGGGACACTTCTTTTGTATATTTAATTCCCTTGGGCCTCTGGCTCCTTGAGTTTGAAAAATACTTCATTTGTAGGATTTTCCTAAATAAAACTCTGCACTTTGCTTGTACAGGAAGAAACAGAATGTGATTCTATTTCGACTTCTAGTGCGAGTACAGACACTTATTTGTCAGACGTTGTTGAAGCAAGTGTAAAATGACACAGATGGTCACGGTGGTGTCTTCAGGTCAGCCTGTCCCACCTATGAGTTTGCTGTGTCCTTTCTGACCTTTGGGTGGCCACTTCTGCTTTCTGGAAATTTTCCAGACGAAGCCTTGTGATTGACTACCAGTTAGAGCTGCAAAAGGCTTATCAATTTATCTTGTCTATTTCCAGAGAGAAAGAAGCAATGTAGATAAGAAGAATGTCATGTCTGAGGACATTTCCTTCATCTAGAAAGTCTAAATTAGTCTCTAAAATGTGCATATATGCTACACACACATTTATTTCTCTTTGAGTTTTTATCACGGAAGTTCTTTGGTGCTTTGACATAGACAGGTAATTGTAATCAATCACATGCAGAGAAAGGCACTCACCCGCGCTGACGGTGATAGCTTCAATGAACTGCTCTCTCCAGCTGTTTGTCCCAACCACAAGGGCTAGGTTTGTCTTCTTAATAAGTTTGTCCACAGTACTCTAGAAAGGTTGAAAAGGGTAAGAGAAGAACTGCTGGGTTAGTTTAGGCCTTGGAAAAGCTAAGACCTTATTGATGTTGAAACCCCAGGGTTATATAAAGGGTAGCAGATGTTCGGCTCAGCACCACCGTATTGACATCAAACACTGTTATGATTATGCAAACAGGCATAGTCCTCCCTTGGAAACATAACTGGGATGGAAACTTCTTTGAAGGAAATACAAGCCTGCTCCACTGCCTAATGGCCGATGAAGAATGGCCTCAGTGTTCAGAACAGCAGATGCTGCAAAAGCCCATCCCTGCCCCTGAATGCTTTATGAACTTGCTTCTTGACTAGCTTCATCTATGGTGTGCTGCTTGCAACTGGATTAACATATGCTTTGCTCAGCAGTTACATATCTGTGAATAACTGGATATGGAAGATAGATTATAAAACTAAAAACTGTTATCATACTTTTGTTGACCAATAAATTACAGCCAGACAGCAGAACCTCAAAACTGCTGCTACGTGATCATCCATGAATGGATTTGTATCTGGCTACTGATCTTGTCAGCCTGGTGGCTGTCAGAAAATTTGCTATCACCCTACTCCTACTGCAAACAAGAAAGCCCCAAACAAGGTATCGATTCGTATAGTTTAGGGTACATTGCATTTCACCTTGCACTGGACCCTCCCAGGCCTCCCCCACCAACCCCCACTTTGCTAACACTGAACCTCTTCTTTTTCTTTTGACCTTTTTGGGGCACTTGGTTTTTACAATTAGCACTTTCTAGTTTTCTAATTGTCACTTAATGTAACAACAGGAGCAGCCAAGCATTTGCAAGAAAACTAAGTAAGCAGATGCATCCAGAGCACAACCACATGTCACAGCCACTACAGGAGAAGGGCATGTCCAGGACCTGAGGCTGCTCTCCCCAGAGCAGCTACCAAATCGGCTAGTCTACCCCACACCCACACTTACTGCCAGGGCGGCCTCGAATTCCCACTAATCGCAAAGAGGCAGGAAACACATATGATTTGTCTTAGCTCAAACTCTCTATAAGTTTAATGCAGTGTACCTGAACTGACTATAGTTTAAGAGAGAGAGAGAGAGAGAGTGCACATTGTCAGCTAACTGGTACTAAAAGAAAAAAAAATCTGAGGGGCCTGTACAGAGGGCCAAGGCTAAATCAGAATGTCAAGTGTGTTAGTTCAATGAGTCTTTCGGACTGACTTGAAATGTTGAGATAACATGAGAGGGCCCACCTCCAACTGGCCCGCTCTGTATTTCTAAAATTATTCTTTGCCAGCTTGTTTGTCCTTAAGGTGCTGGCCTTTCAACCTCTAGCCTTGTGTCGAGAACTGCGAGTGCTCCTGATGAGAGCTGTCACCGTCACTGCTCTTGGCCACCACAACTTGAATTATATGACAAGCATCTGCCTTTTCTCTCTCTATTCAGCCACATCTCAACGAGCACTGAGTGTCTCGGTTGATGCCAATTCCAAGTTCTGCATAGAATGTAACAAGAAATGACCTTGATTTTTCCTAAGTGTAATGGAAACTTGGGACAGGCCTCTCTCCTGAGGAGCCCTCTATGTTCTCAAGCCCAGGCAGAGAATCCCAGGTTTATCACCTGGAGATAAACTGTTGAACAGATAAATTGGTCTAACAGTGCATGCAGACTTGCCTCAAGGAATATCTTTAAAGAACAAAGTTTTGAGATAAGCCAAACTTAAAATGTATAAATATATAATACTCAGGAAATATTGTAAACTTTAGTTCATGTTAACCCTGGAGAACTCTGGGATAGCTTGGGTTCTTCCTAGGACTTCATTTGCATATGTGTCCTTTTTTGACCTATGGGAGGAGGTGAAGTGAATAAGATGAATCTGAAGTGTTCAAACACTTGAACTTGGACATTGCCATCCATAGTTACCTGGAGGTTTCCTATATGCCAGTGATCCATTCTTCACTACCCTAGCCTCATAAGTGGCTGTTATAACCTCACCCTTGGCAGTGGGTTTCAGGAAAGCCAAGCCCTCAGTCACCAGTAAACTAGAGTCTAGTGGGCAAAACAGCGTGGGACATTGTAAGGTGTCACCCAGATTTGGGACTTTTCTGCAGTTTTGAGACCTTTAAACAAGTTCTTTAAAATAGCTGTGGTCTAGAAAAAGAAGTTTCTTAAAGGAATAATGTAATATCAAACTTGACGCTTCAGGGTACTCCAGAAAGCTGCCTCCAAGCTGCCCTTTGCTGAGAATAGTAACTGCACTGATGAACTTGGACGAGGAGGGAGGAAATAGTCTATGGAAACTGTTCTAGGAAGATAAGTACCCCAAACAACTAGACTTATGTAAAGGGACTTTTAAAAAAAATTTAATTCTCACCCAAGGTTATGTTTATTGATTTTAGAGAAAGAGAGAGAGAAATATGGATGTAAGAGAGAAACATTGATCAATTGCCTCTTGTACACACCCTGACCAAGGATTGAATCTGCAACTTTTTGGTTTATGGGATGATGCTCAAACCAACTTAGCCACCCAACCAAGGCTTGGGGAACCTTGAAATGCTCAGATCATTAGGGTGGTTACCTGAGAGAGCTCCAGACTCCAGAGAACATTGCTGTCTGGGAGACTGCACTCCCATACCCAACCCAACACTCCCTGTAGGAAGTTACTGTGATGGCTCTTCATCAGTAATATAAGAGCTATAAGCTCTTATGGCCCACGGAAAGGGAGGGTTGGGGGTTGTCCTGTTAGGGAGAGAACACACTGTTCCCCACCAGCGACCTGGGAGGGGTGGGAGACAAGCTCATACAGAAACGCTGAGCCACAGATTCCCTGATGCAGTAAGGGGCACCCGGCCCTCTAATTCCAGATGAAAAAAAGGTGCATGAGGAGGAGTGAAGTTGGACACGTCTGGACAGGCGGGTCCATAGACATGGGCAGCCTGAGATGTCTGTACCCTGGAATTATAGGGAGCTTGGGCATGTAGCAATCGTGTGCATGCTGTGAGCGGGTTCCAGATGGAACCACAGGTGAGCTGTGTTGGTGGGGTCTGCCTAGAAAGCACTGGTCCTGGAATTGACCCCTGCTGGCTCTTTGTTCAGGGGAATGAGTGGAAGGAAAAGTTAACAGATAGCACTTCAGTTGCCTGAAGGGGAATGTTTAATTGCATTTTTATCATTTCAAAAACCCACTTTAATTGCAAAAGCATTTTTTCTCTCCACCTGTCTTTTATCAGCCACCTCAATTTGTGAACTACATTTTAAAAAATAATGGGCTCAGCTAAAGGAAAAGAGGCCACAGACCAGGAAAATCCCGATAAACTGCTGAGACTTCTAAGTTGGTGGCCTGATTCTCCTTTTTGGAATCCTCCTTCTGGTTTCCCAGACAGCAGCAGAATGCTTTTTAGAAAATGAGTGGAGAAAATGCTGCCGTGTTCTGGATTTGTAGTGCTGGGAAGCCAGAGGAAGGACGCTCCTTTTCATGTCCTACCACAGAACGAAGCAGTGGCTCTGCTGCAGTTTTTGCAGGTGTTAGGGCCATGTGCCTGCAGCAGGGTGGGAGGGGGGAGCAGCTGCAGAATGACAGGTGTTTGCACCTTAAAGTCCTGAGCTCACCCCAAGGCCCATTTTGTTTAAATTCTGCAATGTAACTCATTATCTAGAGAACTGGGAATCCAGTTTTATCAGCACAGTTATAAGCTCTTTGGCCACAGGCACTGTACCTTTAGTATAAGGACTGTGCTAATGTGTCCTGGGATCTGCAGAGGGTGACTAAATATAAATGGCAGTTAGCTCATGGGAGGTTCCATAGGGAGAGCTTACCTGTCCCCTTCAAAACAGAAGCCTCCTGATTTGCTGCACCTGACTAAAGCCACCTAAATTTCAGTGTGATTGTTTGGCTTCTAATAGATTTATTAGCTTTTCCAAATACAGCTTACTTTCTTCCACACATAACACTCTCTTGGAATCCACCTTTGCTTCTGCCTTGCTGCCTTCTCAGGTGGAGCCCTCCCGTGGGGCCACCGCTGGCCCGGTGATGGATGACACCCCCGCACCCTGGTTCTGATGCTGCTTGGTGTGCGGGAACTCTTGATTCCCTACTAACTCTCTAATTCCCACTGTGCTCTTAAGGCCACTGCGTTCATGAGCAATTTCCTGAGATTACATCTGCCTCTCTCCCCAGATAGATCTGACACTAGGAATGGTTTGCCTCCCAGGTGGGCAGTGTGGGTGAGCATACCTTGAATTCATAGGATTCTTCAATGATCACTTCCAGCTTGGTGTGCTCTCCAAGAATGGGGCGCCCCATTTCTGCAATGCGCCTCTCCTCCTCCTCCTTGCTGGTCAGTGGCTGCTTGTCGTCACATTCCTCTGTGAAAGGGAAGGGCAAGGAAGTGAGCAGTGTGCTCTGTTTTATTTGGAAATCCCTGGATCAGGAAATTGAGGACGAAGGAAGGCCTAATGACCTACTAAAAGTCCCCTGGTGAAATCATGAGGCTGGAGGGGAGTATTGGATAGATGCTTGGTGTGTCAGGCAGCATATCACTACGACAGCACGTGATTATATATAATGTCCCGTGTGTGAAAGTGCCGACCAGGGCAGACAACTTACAGGGGCACATCACCGGGAAAGACTGCCTGCAAGTTGCCTGCAGCGGGGATCACCCCGCTGTCCCCTTCGATGCCGGCTTACCTGGCTGTATGTACACATTCCTTTAGCACGTGACCAAAAGGAAACACAATTCAGAGAGTAAGAGCGACTCAATGGACAAAGGAATCTGGCCTCTTTTTCTCCATTTTCCAGGGGCAACAGAGAATGCCCCAGGGCCAAAGAGATGATGGAGGGGAAATTCTGACCATAGCCTCTCCTTGTCAGGCGCCCCTGTTGTAAGTTAAGAAGCAAAACATCACAGTGCGTTTCAGTAAGATGCCTGCTCCGGGGCTTCCTGTCTGCGGTGTGAAGCTGAAATGAGCTAGGAAGACCTTGACCATGTTAATCTTAAAGTAAACAGGGAGGGTGAAGGTGAGGCCTTTGGGGAGTTAAAACTACTCACCATGTGGGCATGATTATTTCCAGAACCACCATGTAGCTTACACTCCAGGAGGTTGAGGGGTGCCGAGAAAATGTTAATGGACTTGAGAGTCCATTAATGAGGGGAAGCTCACAGTTGGTTTCTCTCTGTGTGAAGGTCATTAGAATAAATCCCAGACTGAAAAGGCCATGCACATGTGAAGGACAGACACTATTCCTGTAACTACTCAGCCCCTTTATCATCTGGGCCCAGGATGCTACAGCAAGATGAGCCACTTCCCCTCAGAGTCAAGGTGAGTACACCTCATCTCCAAGGAGGTAGTATCGGCAGTACAGAATGACCTCAGCCCTGATGCCCTTGCTTTTAGAACTATCCAGGCAAACTGCCTGCAGTAAGAGTCTATCGATGGAGGAGGCAGCAGAAAGGAAGGGAATTCTGGTCCTGGTTCCTTTCCTTTGCATTTAGGCATTAGCTTCTACAGGAGTCCACATCTTCCACTGCCTCCAAAGATACATAGCTTTCCTCTACTGAGGGGCCTGCTCTGGTGGCTCCATTTGATGCTCTAGCAAGTGTTGCAACAACTGGTTCCTAGACCAGTCATTCCCTTTTGGGGCACAGAGCAGATGGGCCAGAGGCATGGCTAGCATTTTACACACGCCATGTGTCAAAACCAACAGAAGTCCAAAGCAGAATGTGGCATATCAATGAATTCTTTAGTATGCACTCACTCAACAGTGTCTTCCTAAAAGGCTATTTCAGAATCTGCTTTCCTATCCCCAGTGATTATAGGGTCCTTGAAGATATGTGACAAAAACTAAAAAGAAGTGATTTTGGACTGAAACTGCTGAATGTTAGCAGATACAAAGGAGAGGTGCAGGGGGATTGAACTTTAACTGTAAAGTGGTAATCTTTTTAAAAGTAGGCTTGGAAAGTTATGACCCAGGGGAAGGCAAAAGGTTCTGATTGGTGTCCCTAAGATTTGTCGTTGAACATGTGTGTGTGTAGTCAAGGGTGTGGGCTGAAATACATACTATCCAATTTACCCGGTGTGCAAATCAGTCATGTTTTGATTACTATTGATCTACTCCTTGAACCCAAGATAAAGTTATCGGTCTTTTCGTAACAGCAGTTATATTAAGGTCCTTGTTCAAAACCTTAGCTGAACCTGGATGCCTTGAAGACTTACATCAAGTCAGAATTATTTTTTTCAGAAGAACTACTATAACTCAGATGTTTATTTGAATTGCAAAGCCACTGGGGAAGAATATTTATTATGCCCCTACCTTTTCTATAGTTTACTTATAAATAGTAAGTTGCTTTTAATGGGATGCAAGGCAATCTTGGTGGGAAAAAAATTGAGAAATTACAAAAGAAAGGTGATTAGAGGCATTGTTTAAGGTCACATTTCACAAAATGAAATGATTTGGGACATGGCATTGAATACATGGACATGGTAGGAAATGGAATTGAACCACACAGTGAGTGAAAATGATTAATCCCTTTTTAATCATCCTTCAGTCCTTCTGGTCAAGAAGAAGTACTTAGTCTGGTGCTGTGGTGCCTGCGCCTAGTTCCTGACATTTGGGTCTCCACCATTTAAGAAAGAGAAAACAGTTCTCAGGCAAAGAGCATTTGACTGTACAGACAGCATTTGTCATCTTTATACACAAATATCCAGCTTGTGGTTAGAATTTAATGACTTTTTAAAATTTTAAACTTTTTAAAATCTTATTTGCTACTGATGATGAATGATGCTAGCTTTCCATTAGTGTTAGTGACAAAATTTTCTTTTTAAAAAGTAATCCAGTAAAGAACAAGCATGCGGCAATTTTTAAAAATTACATTAAGTAAATTAAATAACAGCAGAGTTGTACAGCCAAGGCAAATATTATAAAGGAGGTATGAGAATGACGAAAATTTAGGAAACTCTCTCTTAACAGATTTCGTACTAACCTAAAGGAAAGCCAGGCATGTTGTTTGTATTACTTCCTACTCTTGCTCCAAATCTGACTTGAATTTAATGCCAAATTTTTACCTATTGTCTACCTGCCTGGAAAAGGTTCCCTATTTCCATCCAGCTAAGTGCAATTTATTTTTCAAAACCCTACCTCTTCGTGCATGAAATATCCTAGTTGACCTATTTAGGAACAACCACTCTAACTTAAAATTTTTTAGAAGGACTTAATATAAAGTCATCTTTATATACAAATATCCAGCCTGTAAATTTACCAAGGCAGAACGGTATGTCTTACTGCTCTTCAAACTGTCCTTACGACCCCCAGAACCTATTACAATGGATAAAATGTAGTAGGTGCTCAATAAGTATTTGTTGTGTGACTCTCCAACTCACTGTTAGTAAAGCCTCTCATTTGTTCTTTGATGTGTTAAATGAACAAATCATCTTCACATGTCATTGTGCTCCTACAGTACATCAGCACACTGAAGCCCCCTTTTCCAGGAGCTCATAGTCTAATGGGAAGTAAGGCATATAGATGGCCCAGCTTCTAGGGCAGCCAGGTAAGGGCTGAGGACAAGGGGCAGGAGCAGCTGGCTCTGCGGGGAGAATCGCGGCAAAGCGGAGATCTTCGCTATGTGAAGGTGCTGGCAAGGATGACTGGGAAGTGTAGGGATGGGGGGGGGGGAGCAATGCAGGCAGACAGAAGTCAAAGCACAAAGGGGTAGTGTCCTGGAAGGGTCACAGCTAATTCTACTTCATAAATGTCATGAACATTTAAGAGATCATTCTGCTTACATGGAACTGAGAAAAGGCAGCTGGACAAATTCTATTAGTGCTTTTTAATGGTACTGATACACTAGCATTTATGGTGCAGATGTTTGGACACTGCAAAGGAGAAAGCTGAGTCAATTTTTTCCAGTGTCCTCTTTTAGATGCCTTTTATTGAAAAGGGAACTAGTTTAACAGCATTTTTTGATCATCCATTATGTTTGTTTCCTTTCCACTTTGAGGGCTGGACCAAATACAGTCCATTTACTACAGTCGAGTCAGTTTCATTGCCTTACCTCCGCAGAGTGATGACATGTGGTGGCTTTAGTTTTGCTCCTCAGAGAAAACTAATTCTCTCTCTCCGTGTGTCTCTCGCTATACATACATACTTTTCAAACTCACCCTGTTTTATTGACAAGTTGATAATAAATCATGTAACACCATGGTCTTAACCAACCCACACAACATAGAGATCATGTGCATAATTAACAGCCACTATTAAAGTCAGTACTGATAGGACATAAAACAGTCCTGTGATAACATCACCGGTATGGGAGCCTCCCTTCTCCTGAGTAATTGATTTTGCGAATCATGAATAACAAAAGCTAGCAAGTGCCGGGGGTCTGGACAAAGCAGGACTATGCCAAAGCTATGCCATTGATGCTTTCTGGCTCAGCTGCGTTTTGAAGCAGCAGCACTGTGAGCAGTGAAGGGATGAGAGTGATCCCTGTTAGAAAACAATAGACTCTACGGGAAATCTGTGCCTGAGGAGCTACTATGGGTATTCTTTAATGTACTTACAGTATTCAGTCATAACAAATGATGTCAAATTTGGAAAGGATTACCAAGCTGAGGGTGGGACAATTTGCTCCAGGTTATTGTAATCCTTGACTCCGATCCATGCTGAACATCTGAGAGCAGAGACCTCTTGATAGTTTTCAGCCCTAGACTGGCCTTTCTGATCAGAGTTTAAGGAGACCGGTAATTTCATTTCCATGAGGACTATTCTGGAACAACTCTGTACTCAGGGCTGGGTGTCATGATTATTGAGTCAGGGCCTGGGAGGTGGGGATGAAGAAGGCTCTGTTGGGGCAGGTAGCAGTGTTTTACTGCCACGGCTGACAAGGGCCACGGAGATACAGAGGAGCGACTATTAGGAAATAGTGTCCTCATCCAGAGATGCAGTGTGGCGGATGGTTCCTGGGCTCTGCACCGAAGGGGATCTGGGATAGTTCCCCACAGATGTCCTATCATCTGCGCACATATGGCTAACATCGTGTTGGCTGAAGGCAGGCTCTGGGTAGCAATACCCCTGCTTTCAAAGAGACTTCATTCCCATACTTGGAATGGAAGACCCATACTTGAGCAGCAAGAGTTGCAGGAAATATGGTCCCTGAGGGTCCATGCTGCTCCCTCCACCAAGCCTGCCTCCTGGCCTGTGCTGACGGGGCTGTGTGTTGTTGCTGATCTGCTGTAACCCCCAGCTACAGAGAAGCCACTGCATTGTTTAGCAGTGTTTTAGAAGGACAAGGGCTAAACGGTATCTCTTTGCTATCTACAGACCTAAAGAACACTTGAAGACAGTTAACTTCAACTTAATTAAATTGGGTTTCCAGGACCACAATGAAATTGAGTACCTGCAATGGTGATTACAGTAGAGGGAATCGGATGTTCTCTAGCATGAACTTTCCTGAAGACAGGTTGGCCTAGCAAAGGGACAGGCAGAAAATGAGCAGGATAGATTGCACTGGTTTGCTAGCAGAGCTTTGTGGAATTAGTAAGCTAAATATCACACTGAGATGCACACGTCGCAAGCAATGTTAGGGGGTTGAGTGGTCATAAGTCACGCCTTTGTACATTACACAAGTGAGAAGTGAATGGGGCAGGTTCTCTACAAGCCAAACCAGATGATATGAATAAACCACACACACCAGAGTAGGGGTATAGGCAGATTGCTGCCAGTTTCTGAAATGGAATATTCATGTCCTTTAAGCTGCTGCTTCCAGAGGTGTCATGAAACAATGGAAAGCACTGGGTGTGATGAAAGGTAGCCTGGATTTCCTATTGGTGCAAGCAACATCGCCTAGAGCAGGCCATTGCCTGAGTTTATTCACAATGTGGAATGGGGTCCGTAGTACCTGTTATATCTACATAACAGGTCTGAGGGTCAAGTACATGACATCTGAGAACATGCCTATATATTTGCTGGGCATTCCAAGTGGGAGAATGCAGTATTCACTGGTACACTTTGCCAGGGCACATCGTGGGCACAGCAACTGTCTGGATTACCTAGGCCCAGGGCTTTCATCAAACTCTTGGTTTACCTGACTTCCACACCCACCTGCTGTTGGCTTCTACTAAGAGCTACCCAGACCTGACCTGGGAATCAGGAGATTGGGGGCTTGGTGCCAAATCTGTCATAATGCTTGCTGTCCAAACTTGGCCAAGGCACTTCTCTGAGACCCAGTTCTCAACTACAAGATGAAGCTGAACTGGAAGGGGATTTGTTCCTCTAACCTATGTACTGGAGTGACTAAAGTGTTTCTATTTAACTATAAGACGTTTCATAGTTTGCTTTCCTTCCATGTGCCTTGTTTAGTCTATTACATGATGAGCATAACGTGATTGGAAGAGTAACTTTTTAAAAGAGGTATATTGGCCAAGGCCAGGCAGCTCGGTTAGAGTGTCAATGCACTATGCCAAAGTTACGAGTTCAATCCCCAGTCAGGGCTCATACAAGAATCAGCCAATGAATGCATAAATAAGTGGAAAAAAGAAATAGATATTTCTCTCTCTCAAATCAGTAAGTTAAAGAAAATTAAAGAGGTATATTGACTGTTATATACTTTTACACAATTACAGTATTCTACAGCTGCCTATTTGGGAAATCAAACATGCCTCTCTCCTCTCCTAACTGAGCCAGGATACTTAATTGTATTAAAAACATCTGAATTAGTGTGCTGTAGTTTCCCCATTTTGGGGTCCCCTGGTTTCTCATTTGACTGGCATTCACATGGATGGTATTCATGAGTAGCTGGCTTTGAATGGAAAGGAGTAATGATGCCGGAGGGAATGAAGCAGTTCAGAGGCAGGAAATAAAAGTGTTTGGATTGGGACGGTCATCACATGGCCTTGGACTTAAAGTCAGAAGGCCAGGCTCTGAATCATGAGTGGGTGATGTGGGAAGATTCATCAATCTCTTTGCACCTTCATTTCTTCTCCTTCAAGCGAGGACAGTAACATCTTATTCCATAAGGTTGAGGATTAAATGATACAATAAATAAGAAATGCTTTACAAACTCTGACGAGCTGTAGCGTATAGAGGGTTATCATGGTAGATGTCTGGAGGGTCAAAGGGGAATGAGGTCATAGGTCCAAACAAGAGTCTTTCAATGAGACAAGCTCTAGGAACAGCAGGCAAAGATTTACAAATTCCAAAAGTACCTCCAGAACTTAATGGCCAGCACTAATGAGATCTCTGAAATATAGGTGCTGGGCTGTGGACCAAACAAGTTTTTCAATCTCCATATACCCTGCTTCAATTTTAGATTTTTCACACTCAGCTGCACAAGACCACATAAAAGCTATTGGAAAAATCCAAAGGCTAGATTAATTCCTCTCCACTACCCCTACGCCTCAAAGCCTTGACTTCAAAGCCTCAAACTGACTTCAGAGAAAAGCCCTTTGGGACTTACTGCTGCTGCGACTGTGTAGACCTAAGTTTCAGAATTTTCCTTGGTAGCATCTATAGAGAGCGCATCCTGGGCATTCTGACTACTCCAAGGAGAAGAAAGGCCAGGCAGAGTGAGAGGCCAATGTAGAGATTCCCAGACAGTCCTGGAACTTTCTCTTGTTCTAACAGTATCAATTTCAAGTCTTGGGAAGAGATAATGTCAACACAAAAACTACTTTTCAGATCAAAGTTTCAGACATAAGAAAGAACTTGATGAAGTACATGAAATGACAGAAACCTTTAGAAGTGATTCTGTCCTCTTGGATGCAAGCTGTGTCCAGGGCACCAAACATTGGACATTCCTGGACAGATATCCTAGAAATTTATAGGAACAATTTCTGAGAAAAGAGCACCGAGATCCAAATTACCTAGAAACTAAAAGAGATGAGGTTTCAAGTGATACGGAAGGATGGCCCTAAAAGCAAAATCCTGACATATTCCATGATAAAATAGGAAGACATCCAAACACCTCAATGCATTTTCATAAGGCATTTTACAGCCGGAGATATTTCCTTAAGGTCTTATTACCAGGCTGTTTAGGGCTGAAGGTGCTGCCAGATACATTTTACTTGTACAATGGTAGACTTTTTAAAAAGAGAAGACTTCAAGGAAGCCATGAAGCTCAACTTGCCAGAATTCTACCTTCCTCCAATTCCACAAGGACAACAACCTTATTGGTGACAGAATCAGAATATTTTCAAGAAGACTCAATGAGTTAAAGTGATGGACAAGAGAGAAAAGATTAAACAATTAAAAATAAATGGAAATCCCTGCATTTGGATTTAAAAACAGGGCAAACTGGGGAGACTTGGCCTGGGAGACAGAGCCTCAGAGGAGTCCGATTTCGGAAATCCTCTACCAGGACCTGTCCTGTTCGACATTTCTATCCTTTGCAATTTCTGTGTCTCCGAGAGTCTGAGTCACTTTATCATTAAATATTTTGTCTGGAGTGGACAGTAAGAGCCTGTGTGAAATTTCTCGTTTTCAGAAAATTCCACTTTGGACAGAATCAGGTTGGAAGGAACTACTTGGCCGTGTGTTTATATTAAGAGTGGGCTAAGCTCCCCCCAACTCCCATCACAGCATTCTCAAAATTAGAATAGTTGGAAATATTTCCTTTCTAACTTTTGTGTTCAGCTTCTCTGACGTCAGAAAAAAAGAACTAGGATCCTGATACCTGCACAGTAGATTGGGCGTGTGATTATCTACCTCCCACTCTAAATCTGCAGAGAAGATTTCGAAAGGGTGAGAAAATATTAAGAGAGAAGGTTGTAAGGAAACACCTTCCTTCTGTTCACAAGGAAATAGCTTTAGAGCTGTGCTCAATGACACCATCAACACAGGCTGAGCACCGTTCTGAATTTAAGGGCTTTCAACTTTCTGATGAGCATTTTGAGTTTTCATAGAGCATTTCGTAGCACCCTTCAAGAGGCAGAAATATTACTCATATTCTATAAGTGTTAATAATGCTAAAATGTAAGTCCCCACAAAGGGGTTTGTTCAAGTTGGTGAGGTGGGACGACGGGGAAGGACTTCCGTCTCCTCCCAACAGGGTACATGTGCACATCAGTATCCCGAGTGTGGGCCATGGGGCAGTCTTGGATGTCACCTCCTGTGTTTCCTTGAGGCCAGCATTTGTCTTATTTATTCTGGTACTTTCTGCAACATCTAGCCGGGTACACTGTACATCACCAGGACTGTGTGAACATTCGTAAAGGGACCAGCATCAAAATGTGAACAATCACAGGTTCTCCATATACATTTGTGTATAAAGAAACACAACACACACACATTGTTAATGTGCAAAATGTTAAGTTTGTGAAATTAGCCAGAACACACCATGGGCTACATCTAAATGTTAATGCAGGTTATATAAGATGTGGTTCTGGTTGGTTTTTAAGGGTATTTGAACAAAATAAAGGACATGAAAAACAGTTCTTACCATACAGGCATTTTCCTTCATTAAAAGCAAATAAAAATGAAAAATGATTTTGTAAAAATTTATATAATATATGGTGAGAACAGACAGTAAAAAGTAAAATTTGATGTCATTAGACTTTAAAAATTCATACCTGTTATTGTGAAGCCACCTAAAAAAGAAAAAAAAAGAAATGTTACAATTTATTTTACTCGCACTCTAAATAACAAACACCAGTGACATCGTACTACCTGACAACCCATGTGAGGGGTAAAAACTTGCCAAATTATATTTATAATTAAGAAAAATTTCAAAGCATGGGTTCATGACATAATCATTATTTTTTTTACAAAAAAATATGGGATTTAGTGCACAAATTTAATTCTGTGCATTCCTAAGAAATCACTCATTCTTTAAAAAAGGTCATACTAAACTAAAACTGGAACATAAACTATATGACCTTAACAAAAATGAGGCCAAATAACAATCTTGCTAGTAAATCGATAGAAATAAAAGTCAGAAAGCTATTGTACCACTTGACAGAAATGGAAATTAACCTAGAAAAATGGAAAGGAAATGCAAGAAATGAAATGCTTACCAAGCTCATTCAATAACAGGGCTGTGAAGGAAACAGACAAAGACAAACACAGAATAAGAGACCAGATGAATAATGAAAGTAAGAGGAATATCAGCAGAAAGAAATCTAGGGAGCCACTGGTAAAATATTGGTGCAGCCTAGAGAATTGGGGCATTGGGAATATTTCCAAATAAATAATCCCAACACTAATTTCTGCAAATGTGCCATATATATATATATATATATATATATATATATATATATATATACACACACACAATATGTGTATATATATATATCTGTATATTATTTCTTGACATTTAATGAAAATTTCTACTATATATGTTTACACATAGTATGTATATACCTAGTTTACAAAATAGAGTAGAAACGTCTTGTAGAGTTAATCCTAAACTGTGTTTGAGTGGGTGCTTTCATGAAATATTGCCTGGGAGTAAGTTAATTCAATATAAATGGGAGTCTTAAATCATCCAGGATCTCAGGTATTGTCTCTCTCATTCAATAAAAACAGATAAAACTTCTTGTGAAATTTTATTTTGGCCACCCTTCCTGGAAGGACACTTTGGATAAGTAAAGTTCTCTCTCTGTAGGTTCTGTTGGCATTGTATTTTGGCCATCGAGGGATGCTTCTTTGTTTTTTATCCTCAAAACTCAAGTCCCAGGAATTAGTGCTTATTTGTCTGTTCTTATCTATGACTTCTGCACAGTATAATTGGACAACCAGAATGCTTCTGTGGACACAAAGTCCCATGGAAACTGACAAGGCGTGGTGGTGGTGGTGGTGGTGGGGTTACATAATTTCTCTTTCAGGTCCTGTGCTTTGAACTCAGACTATTCTGCATGCAGCACTTCATTTTGGTGAAAGGTACCTGACTGAATGTATCAAATAAAGGACCTCATGAGTTGTAGATAGGAGTGTTACAATTACTTTCTCAGGCCCAATTTTCGCTCTAATAATGGTGGCATTAGAGGACACTTTCTGAAACAAGTCAGTAATTTAGTGATAAGAATCCACTTGGCTGGTGCAGAACTGGATAGTACTATCAAGGAATTTTAATTCCCTCTTACATGAGGGCATATTGTATTAAAGTGACAATTGAAAGGGCTGTATCCAAGATGCTCTCCTTTTAGATAAAAGACAGTGCTTCGGAGGAATTCATTTAGAAGTTAAGTGCTTTTTCTTGTATGTTAATGAGGCATTGTTGATCCCATCTTTGTAAGAACCCAGCACAATTTTCTCAAGTTCCTTTTCCTTCTGTCCCTGGTCTATTGGAGCATATGAAATGGGCTGAATTAGAATGGGTCCTCCGTGTTCCTCTCTCCGTCATCCCAAAGGTGCCTGTTACCATTTTGAGGGCGATAAAGTCAGGATAACAATTTCTTTTTTTCTGGTGGACTCTGAGGCCATTGAGTTCCTATAAATGTGGGATTAGTTCAATTCCCCCAAATGCTTGGTCTATATAGAAATTAGTCCTGTATATTTGATTTTTTTTACATGTAAAAGTTTAAATTTCTTGCAAAGTGGTCTGTCTAATCATCAGTTATTTCTATGCAATTAATAAGAGCTATATGCAATTAATAAGAGCTATTAATATGTAGTATCCTCATTTTGTGCAAACAATTAAATGAGTAGGATTTCTTTTAAAAGAGCCACTATACAGGATAATCATAGGAAGTCATAATTATAATAAAAAATTCTCTTTAAAGCTGATAGAAAAGTCTTATCCTTCCTTATCAAATATTGGCCACATACAATAGATATGGTCAAAGAGAACAAAAATTTGTCTTCTTTATCCAAATAATTCTACAACTATAAGTATAAATCAACCAAAAAAGCCTAGTTATGAGGATACAGCTGCCTTTTTTTCTTTTCATTATACATGTTAGAAATTTGTGAATTCTATAAGGAAAGAAAGATTTTGTGCATACGACTAGTTAGGCCTTAAGCAAGGACTAAATTCTAACTGAAGGACCACAGCCTTCCTAAGAAAATGGACTGTGATTTCATACTTATGGTCCCTTTTAAATGGCATATTTGATTATATAACCAATGTTGTGTCCAAATGAACACTAGAATATTGATACCAGTACTCCTCAAGGATCTTTGTTCTTATTATTTTTTGAAACCTGGGTCCTCTGAAAACATCCAGTTATTTAGTTCTTTTTGAAATTTCCTACTAGTTGTCTTTGAACTCATCTGTCACTGCTAACAGGAATGAAGTGGTCTTTAATAGTTGGAACCAAATTTGAGAATGATCCCTGGACTAGTGAGAAACTAAATGCATAAATCTTTCTTTTATATCATTTCTGAGTTCCAGAAATCTCTTCCAGCATTTACTAAATCTGGTTTCAATCAAGGTTAGTTGGCATTTCCTGGAGAAAATGGGCAGAGCTTGGTGCACTTGGGAGTCAGGGAAGGGCCGGGTAACTGCTAAAGCTTCAGAGGAAATGAAGGCTAGCACTTGGAAGCGGAGGAAGAGGAGAGAGTTAAGTGTGAGAGCAGGGAGACACGGAGAGAGAAGAGTACAATTTCTCGCTGGTATGTCTTTGTATACTCTCACACCTTTCATTCCTCTTCTTATCCATTTGGGTTCCTCAAGCACAAGGGAGAAACTGCACTCTTTCTCATATTCCTCACGGTCAAATATTCTAATGGTAATGATCTTCCTGTGGGAACACAAGACAAAGGCAAAACAAATGGTTGGAGTCACACGCTCATGCTGGGTGTTCACCAAGCCGAATGTTACTGTGATGTTATGGAGGGAGAACTGGCAACACATGGACCTCCCGGAGTATGTAAAAGGGCATCTTGGGTGCTCTCAGGCGGCCCCCAGTAAGTTTGCTTTGCTAATTACCACATTCACAAATTCTTCCTGCTCCAATGAGCAGTCAGAAGGTACCCCGAATTAGGAAGAGAAATCAGAAAGGTGCCTTCATTTTGACATAGCAAGCATCTGCCTCAACTTTCCCAGAAATGGAGGCTTGATGGACTGCACTGGAGATTGATAGCTCAGACCCGTAATGAGCAGCGTGGCCAAAACCGGCTAATGGAGCTACAAGCCCCGCACGGTGTGAGGTCCGAGTGAGATCTATGCCCTGTTACATAGGCGGAGGGATATGTGTGCTGAAGTCACATTTGAAGAGTGCAGGCATCCAGGGGGCCACAGGCCAGCAAGAAGCTGTTGGGCTCGGCCCGGAGCAGCTCCCCCACCTTTCTTCTCACTCATCTCCACCAGGCGGGGCTCTCCAATCTCAAGGAAGAAGGTCTTGTTTTTCTCATACTCCTCATCATCAATTACCTTGACTGATATTGTTTTGCTGAAACAGAGAAGAATAGAAATTGACGAACAAGGGGAAGAGGAGAGAGAAGGAACATAAAGAAGAGGAAAGCGAGGTTAATGAGCTGCACTTCCAAACAAAGAGCAACTGAGAAACTTCTGTACTGGGAGTTTGTCCTCCGAGAACGAGTATGGAATAGGTTTGAAAGATGGGAGAGGTCCCCCAAGGCGCAGCGCCCCTGCCCAGGGCCACAGACTTATTTCAGGCAGAATACAGTACTCAGTACTAACAGGTTTATCATCATCATAAAAAGGAAGAGCAGAAGGACATAGACCACAGTAATAAGGAAAAAATTATTTATTCAGTAAACGCCCTAACTGTCTGGGCTGTGCCCTGGAAATCGCTCCTTTAAAACAAATCAATAAATCACATCAAAATATTAACAGAGGTAATCTCTGGGTGTTAGGTTTATGGATTATTTTTGTCTTCACTGTGCTTTATTGTATTCCCAAATGTAATAATTTTAACCTAAGATTTTATTGAAATAATAAATGTAGAAAAGCACCACAAAAGAAGATACAAAGTCCTTTATGTTACCCCACCCAATGTGCTAGAATTAAACTCTTATTCAGGTTAGACTTCCCACCTAGCTCACAAAAGGAAGTCGTTCACACTTTGTCTGTCTTTCTAAAGATGGAAGGACGCCTCCCAATAGCTGTCTCAAAAAGTGGGGTGAGGAGTTATGATGTCGCAGTTATTTTCATCCCTCGCAAAGTCGCATTTCAACTTTGACAAAATACATTTTACCCTTCTTTCAGACTCCATTGATACATGAAGGCGTTTTGTTAAGAATTCTTCCTGCAACCCATTCTTTAGCACTTCCTGCCTTAAGGTCATCTGGTTGTGAGTGACTGACAGGCAGGTGCGACAAATGCAAATATTATGTAAATCTCAACTTCCCATAAGCCTTGATGGCTCTGAGAAGAAATCCAATGTTATTTTCTAATTAATAATGGCTTAGTCTCTTCATGTATTGCAGTTTACTCAGAGTTCCTAAACATTCGTTTCTTGGAAAATATATATACTTTTAGTAACACTGGCCCAAAGCATTTCTGACTAAAGTTTCTGAAATGATGAGTTTATATAGGCACGCAGTTTTAATGGTATAGATATTATTTAGTTTTGGTGGAATTTTCTAGGTTTTCTGGAAGGAGACCAACATATATATATGTGTGTGTGTGTGTGTGTCTATGAATTCCTAGTAGGAATTCAAATATGTAATCAAGTTTCATTTAGACCTATGCATGTCAAAGAGCATCCTAGTATGAAGGAAGCTGTAGGGCTATAGGTAGGGGTTGCTTTTAATTTTCGGAGGTTCTCAGTCCCTGATGTTAGATGTTTCAGTCCTGCGTTCCTGGTCAAAATTGCAGGTGTGGGGTCAAGTGGCTGGTTCTGGTCCTCTGGAACCCATAACCCACCCTCTCCTCCTCAGCTGCAGAACATCCCTGCATGATGCTCGAATCTCAGTTTTTCTCCATTACGGAGCTGGAGCTCATGACAATGCTTTTCCTTTCTCAGTTCTGTCCGCAAAGACTGAAACACCAAAGGGTACCGTACTAGATGAGCAGCTGTAAATGACTAAGGCGATAACTGTGGTTTAGAGTAGTTAGATAGTTACCAACAATGTGACAAAGGCCAACATATAAGTGAACAGTTCCGGTCAGACTCTCCGAACAATTTTCTTAAATTCATCTATTTACTTAGCATATAAGAAAAATCAAGAAAAAGAACTCATGAACACAGACAGCAATGGGGTGGGTGGACGTAGCAGAGGGTGTGGGGGATAAAACGGTAATGAAAAAATACAATAAAAGTAATGAAAAAAGAAGAATAACAAGGATGTGAGAACTCATAGCAATTCTGAAAATTAGAAGCTTTGCTGTTTCTTTAATAAATGCACAGGGAAACGCACGCATGTGTATGTGTGTGCACACACACACAAAGACAAACCAGCCTGCCCTGACCAAACCAGGACCATTCCTCAGTATCCCCAAAAGACAAAACATTAGGGACAGGACAAGAAGATATAAGAAAGAGTAGGCATGGTCTTTATTTCAGAACTGAATTTGATGTTATAAGCAAGATACAATTTACTCAAGAAAAACCTGCTAATTGTCTCCCCTCTATGTGATCAAACTTATGTATTTGAGGTATTAATTTCCATCCTATTATTGCCTCGTAATCCTTAAACCGTAGCTTCAATACAACCATGTGTGGGAAAGTACTGGTGGGCAGTAGAAGGCCCAGGCTGCCGTTACCTAGACCTGGCAGTCCCGGGCTCATTATCAAAGCACGCCATGATAGTGGACGTTAAACAGAATGGCATGTTGCAATGCTTTTGTTCACATGAGTTAAAAACATTTGGTTTACCTTTCTTCATCTTGCCCTCCCAACCCATCCTGCATCCTATCATGTAAGTTATTAGACTGTAGAAATAAAGAAAGCACAGTGGAGATGGCTGGCGTAGTTGTGCTTAAACAAGTGTTTAGGAATAGCTGCCAGTGTCATGCTCAAGGGCAACACGACCACATTTTCACAGATACACAAGAACAACATATTGTTTCTTATCCTTAATGAATTTAATCCTCTGTCACTGTAAGAGCTTGATTTTTCTCTACTCTGAGTAGCTTACAAATGTGAGAAATACAGGGCTCTGCACAGTTTCTATAATAAAGTAAGCACTTCGAATGTATCATTAGAGTATCACTATTCACGAGGGTCACAATTCTTAAACATCATTTTTGGTATGTGCTAACTGATGCTGGAAAATCAAGGATGAAGAAAAAGAAAACAGTCCCTCTGTGGGTGCTGGCAGAGTTACCTAAAATAGATGGGATTTGCATAATGGCATATCATTTCAAAATCATTAGTTATACAATCAATAGTGCCCCTGACAGAAGGAACCATTACATTTTATATTGATTTTGCTCTACTTGTGCAGTGAAGCTATTCATTGGAAAGGATTATTAAAGGACATGTCAATCCACCGCAACAGGCAGGAGGAAGTCAAGCCCCAGGAATTAGCCCTCGGGGTGAAGAGAGGCAAACATCCAAAGGGACTGGTCTGCCTCCCTTTTGCTTCAGAGCAGAACTATTTCCCCCCTTAGCAAAGGTAAAATTGTCAAGTAATTTTTAAAGGGATATCTCTTGCTCACTTTCCAAGCCTAAAGCACAGAAGAAACTGTCAGCGCTTCTTCCACCACCAGGGATGTCGCCTGGGTAGGACTGCTGTGGTGCAGCCTTCTGCTGCACCAGCCTGATCATCAGCACAAGCTCGCCTCTGCCCCTCCCAGCGCTGCAGTAGAAACAGAATCTCTAGGGCCGAGGGGCCTCACACGTCCTCCAGTTTGCCCCAACGCCACACTACGATCCTGTGTTCGTGGGGCTTCTGCACCTTCACAAGGGGTCCTGCCTGCGAGCACAGGGTCACGTGTCTGGGCTTATGTCCTGTTTGCCGATGGGAAATAGCCAGATTAACTGTCAATATTCTCGTAAATTGAAAGGCTCTCCAAAACAAGACTAGTTACACAGACATAGCCCTCCATCCAGTGGCAACTCCTGTGCTATTATCACACCGATAAAGAACAGAAATTTTCATAATTATTATGAAGAACGTAAGGAGAATTTCTCACTTGATTTTTTAACATATCTTTCTAAAGTTGAACAGTGTAGGATAAAAACTATGTATACCGGAAGCTAGCAAATCAGTTAGGATACATTAAATAATTTCTGAATATGGCCAACATGTTTATGGAAATACCTTTTGGTTCTATTCTGGGGGAAAAAAGCATTTGGTTAAGAAAGATCAATTCATTTAATGGAAACACACAGGTTCTTCCTTCTGAGTTTTGCAGTCCTTTTCCTTTGATGACAGAAAACCAACATCTGTACTTTGCTTGTAAGTCTTTCTCTCTCACCCAATGGGTCTCAAAGGACCTGAACACCCTCAAACACTCTAACAAGGAGTTCTTACATCGGGTGGTGACTCAGGCAGATGGTAAGAAAGGTGGCTTTATCAGAGGGAGCTAAAAAAAAAACTCTTCAAAATATGTTCTAGTCTCTCATCATTAAGCCAATGTTGTATCAGTCTTTTTTTTCAGTTTCAGCTTCAATTTGTCCTTTTGTGATTTTTCCCCCCCAAGATTGCCCTTCATGCCTCCAGAAGTGAAAAAAAGATGAATTGGAGATGAGTTGGAGGATTAAGCAGGGAAGAATCTTTCTAAATCCTCATGCAACAGATTTTTAGTGAGGATTTCACATACTTAGATATGGCAATGACTTTTTAAATTTATATTTTATTTCTAAGATTCAACTTCTCTTTAGGCATACTCAGAGGTCAATGAACTGGTGGGCACTTCGCATGTCTTATTTCACTTGTCTTCCTAACACCCCTAGAAATACCTTGCTCTACTTCAAACTGAAGGAGGACATAGTGAGTTCGAGAAGTTAACTGATTTCCTAGACGACAAAATGAGAGCCCTGTGGGTGGCTCCAAAGACCAAGTCCTTTTCATTTCGTGACCCACAAGGTCCCGTATTTATTCAGCTGTGCAGTATTTTTGTGACCACTTTAAAGGAGCTGGATCATTATTTTAAATTAATATATACATTTATTGTTCTATCTTTATGTTAACAAAGACTGCCTAGATGGACAATGATAGATTACCAATTCTCATGTTCAGAGAAGTACAGCACAGAGTAGATTCCATGACAGTTGTCTTGATGAGTTAAGTCCTCGAAGAGATAAAGGTCCCTTTTAGGATTAATTGAAAAGAGCCATGGACGTGCAGAGGCTCACCAACTCTGAGGACTTGGAGCCGCCAACCAGTAGCTAGGGTCTCATAGGCAGCTCGTTGGATTCCAGACTCCCAGGGCCCACGCCACACCCATCAAATTAGATCTGCATTTTAAGATAGATCCCCAGGTGACGCCCGTGCATGTTAAAGTTTGAGAAGCACTGATCTGGAGAGGACAATGGCT